GGTAATTTTGTAATATCGTGAAAGCTTTAAGAACATCATATGTGCCTTAAGTTGTAAAACTGTGAATGTTTTTGGTTAATGGAAATTTGTATAACATTGCATATGTTCAATGTATTGTGGAATGCAGGCATGAGTTAATGTTGCATGTGTTATGGAATTGTGGAAAATGACGTTGAAATTGCTAAATTTCAAAGGATGCATGTTGATAATGCTGGGTTGTTATGAATAATGTGTTATGCCCACTACAGGAAATATATGATTTACACCGCGTTAATTTAACGGCGTTTTTTTAAACGTCACATTTCTTACATTTAACGCGTTTTATAACCCGTCACATTTATTTTAATTAAACGGTACCGTTTAAGAAATCCAAAGTCGTTGAAAAGCGCCTTCAATGTGTTTCTCTCTCTCTCTTCAAACCCTCAAATCTCTTCACCAACGTATTTGAATCTGAGAAACCTAGAGTTGCCAAGGAAGCGATCCTCAAATATCTCACTCGCTCGCTTCTCTCTCTCTCTCTCTCTCTCTCTCTCTAAACCCTTCAACTCGATTCAACCTTCTTCAGCTCGGTGATTTTTCTATCGTGCCAAATAATCTCAAAATGATTTTGATTTCGAAGCTCCACAGTCACCGCCACCGCCATCTGCATCTGCATCTGCATCGTCTACTAACCATCTGCACGATTTTGATTTCAATCCAATCTCAGTTTCGTCGATTCTTCTCTCTCTCTCGATCTCTGCCTGTCTCTGTCTCCCTCTCTCTCGATCTCGTTCTCTCTCGCACAGTCTCGTTCTCTGTGTATACATTATCTGTACTTTTTTTTGGATAATTTTTTTGTCCTAAAAAACTCTCTATACAAGTATATATATGAATTTTTATATGTATCTCTATGTATTAATTGAATAATCATCCTTATTTTGTTTTCAGGCTCTCGAATGATCCAATCGTTGATCGGCAGTGACGGAAAAAATCAACTCCTGTGAGAAAAGAAACCCTAACTTTCTCATTGGAGGTAAGTTCTAATATATTTGTTTACATGTTTGTTCTGTTTTTGATCTTGTTTAGATTTGTATTGAACAACTCTATTTAGATTTGTTTACTCAATACACTGATGAGAATCTACTTGAATTTGGTTTCTTTTACTTTTCTGTAGCTATATTTTTTGTCTATAATGCTTCTAAATATGAGGATACATTGGTTTATGTCAATTTCTATGTATCAAAATATATTTTGGTTTATTTAGATGATAAACATTAATTGGAGAACTCAGTAGTGATTAGCAGTCTGTCTATTGGTTAATTTGGGTATTGACTTAAATTTGATTTTTTTTTCCCATTTATCTTTCGTTATATTTAGAAATTGGAACTAAAAATAATTTAGAAATTGGAAGGAAATAAGCAAAACAAAACAAAAAACAAAACTTATCCACAAACACACACACAAAAAAAAAAAGGAAAAAAAGAAAAAAAAAAACTGACAGATGTAGGAACTTGTTTAATAGGGATTGTTATTCTTCTCTGTAGCATTTCATTTATGAAGTTTGATTTCAAAATTGTATGTTCTGTGCATAGTAGCTAGTAGTAACTACTTGACGTCATATATGGCCAATAATTCTATTGGTACAAATTCTTAAGAAACCTAAGGTTTAGGCCGCATTCCCCCCAACAAAGAGTCTCAAGTTTGAATCTCCTTAAGACAGAAACAGCTATATTCTCTTTCAATTATCATATTCTGATATTATAATCTACTTCTCCCAAACCCCCATCTAACAGAGACTAACTTGGCATACTTTTTTATATTATATTTCAACCAAAATAGCCAGTAGTCAACAGAAATTGCATTATAATTTGGAAATTCTCAATAATAAATTAACAACGCTAAAGAAAGAAGGATAATGTAAAATGCTAAGCTAGTAATCAGGGGCCAAAGTTTCTTATTAATGTTTATGCCTGACATCTCAATGTCAAGGCATGTATTGCATGCTTTGACTGCCCCCCTTTGAAGCTGTGAGAATTAGAAATAAGTGTCTATAGTTGAACCTCGCCTCAAGAGCAGACTCATGTGATGAAACAATGACCCAAAAGAGTCACTACCAAAATGCCGCATTTATAAGCTCATTTATTATCAAGACATATGGCTCACTTGTAATTTGATAGTTGCACTGAAATTATAGTTTGTCTAGTGAACTAGAGAACTCCAATGGTCTACAATGGAAGATGATGAAGCTGTAATATACGCATGTATATTGTACCTACCCACTCTACGACTTCATGTTAATGGACTAAAACATGATATCCTCTCTTACATACAGAGCTAAAATATTTGATCATCATTTTTTCTTCGGATCTAATTCGAAAATACGGAGAGAAAAAAATAGTGCTTGCATATATTATAATTATTGTATATAATATATATACGTTATAAAAAAATAATTGTAGTATTGTTTAGTGTCTTGATACAAAAAATAGACAAGCAACAACTGCAGAGGTTTTCCAATGCATGCAAAGGAATTCCACAGGTACAAAAAACATTCGGAGTGAATGTTGCTGTTTCATGTTGTGCATAGAGCATTGACAAATTGATGCATAGTAATCACAGAGAAAATTATGTTGGCGTAAAGTACTAAGAAAGTTTTTTTAAAAATAAAAATAAACCATGACAGCATAAATGAATTCTTGCACACACACACACACACACAAAAAGTGAGTCCGAAGTTGTCGGATCCAAATAATGTATACGCAGTTTAAGTTCACTGTCTACTGACTTGTGCCCTGGCTGTGATAACTACAAATTTACAGTGCTTTGGTTTTTTTTCTGAAGTTTCAATTCCCTTCAAAGTCTTTTTTACTTTTCTTTATTTTTTTACTAGAGAATATTGAGTTTGACTTTTCAGTTTTTCCATGTACATCAGAAAACCTACAAATTATGAATTTGATTAACCATGTGATTGTCATGAGATACTTATTACTTGCTCATCCAAAATAAAAATAAAAATGAAATACTTATTTTCATTATTTTCAGTCAGCTATATTCATTATTTTCAAAGATTATCGCAATTCCTTTTTAACATGCAAAAGTATGAGGGTTATCCATCTGGTTCAATGGTTGACTTCGCTTGTGATGCCTATGGATCTCCAATATTAGCAATCAGCAGCTTGGCAGTTCATACCAAGGTTGGCAAAATTTTGAATTTTGTTATCATATGTGTACTAATTGGATAATATATATATATATATATATCTTGAAAATTGTTCTAAATGGCGGCATCCAAAGAGATGCCTTGATGTGCACGAATGTGAATTGTCTCTCTCTTTGGTTCACAAGGACAGGTAGAATGACAATCGAAGTTTAGTTGTACAGTTACAGGAGCTTGTAAATTTTATATTCCTACTCAATTCCTGTTTAGCTGTTTGTTAAGAGACAGCAAAAGTAATGCTGAATGCTCTTTGGAATAGAAAATTCTTAAATTTTGGTTATTAGGATTAGTTTTTCTAGTGATGCTTGGGAGGTAAATTTATTTTTGAATTAATTATTTTTAAATGCACCTTCTTATATTTTAGTGATAAACTTGATATGCATTTATTTAATTTAAGTTGTTTTATTGAGCATATTGTCCTTAAAAAGGCGGAATGGCGAAAAAGGATTCATGTAGCCGACCATTACTTGATTAAGATACATGGTTTAGTTTGGTTTGGTTTGGAGTCTTTTTGAATGTGCCTTCTTATATGTTAGTGATAAGCTCGATAAGTTGAAATTCAGAATATTGTAATCACTTAATTTTTTGTTAGCACAGGTGTCCTGTGTGTATTCTTTTTCCTTATTAGCATAGGACTTCAAAACTTTGCTATGAAATACTTGCAGCATTTTTTACATTTAAAATTTTTTTTAGGATCTTTTAGTTTATGGAAAGTTACTTAATTAGTTGATACTCGCTGTTTTTTGCAGGACCTTGTAGCTAATCCAAAATGCTCTTTGCTTGTAGCAAAAGATCCTGAGGATAGGACTGATTTAATTATAACCCTGCACGGTGATGTTGTTTTTGTATGTTAATGACTTCTGATTTTTGGATGATGTGTCATTCTGATCTTGATTGCTGCTTCTGTTAGTCTATTCTCAATGCATTCTATCTCCCTTTGAACTCAATTAGAGCACTTAAATTCAAATATTTTTTTGTTTTGATAAACAATGCAGGTCTCTGAAAATGATAGAGAAGCTATCAATACTGCATACTTGGCAAGGCATCCAATGCATTCTGGGTAACTTTTTTGGCCACTTGTTTTTTAGCATGCATGCCTAAATCTAATTCTTTACTCTTTAAAATTTCAACAAAATATATGATGATTGAACATTAACATATGGTTAGATCAGATTCAGTAGTAAAATCTCATATTGTATCCTGAATTTTCGTTGCCTCTTCTCCCCCACAATTTTGCAGATCATGGAGGTTCTTATTCAGATAGCAAATCTCATATCTCCTTGGAGTTGATGGCAAGTATGACAGAATGTCAAGTTTCCAGAAAAAACTAAAGGAAGTGAATGTCAGGTTGATTAATTTTTTCTAATTAATGGCAAGTATGCAGTGTTTTTTATTAATTTTCCTTGGAGTTGATGGCAAGTATGCAGTGTTTTTTATTAATTTTTTCTGTAGAATGTCAGGTTGATTTTTTTTCTTTGGTTTATGCTCTCAGATGTTTCTAGTTCAGAAAAAACACTGCAGTTTCGATGTCGATGTAATTGAATAAAAAACAGAGAGAAGCAAATGTAGTTTCATTTGTTTCCTCACCCATTTCATGCATGAGAGATTAAATTTAAATGCTATGTTGCCATCTTTCTGATGTGTGATTTTTGGAGAGAGAGTCTGTGGAAAGAGGTACCTTCCTGTGGGTTCTCACTGCAGGAGCAGAGGTTATCCGTTACGTTTTTTTGTTCTGTTACCAATTATGAGTCCTTCAAGTCTGATTGTTCTTCCTCATGTCTTTCATGCATTATTTTGATCTTGGTGGCTTGGATTGTGTAATGTGTCTCATTAAGTTGTTATAAATGTTGATTACATGTCCTAATGTCTCAAGAGAGAGATTTTATAATGTTTCAAGATACAAAAAGCAATGTTAGTTTTACTTTATTACGGAAATCTTCTTCTTGCCATCAATGAACCTAATTACGGAAATCTTCTTCTTGCCATCAAAAAATTTAATTTCCTAAAAAGTGAACCTAATTTTCTAAAATCAAATATGATAATTTATTTAAATTCTCAAAACTTTTTTTGGAACAAATTTTTTTCTTTGGCAGTTAGGAAGTGGTGGTGTTATAGAAGCTGACAAATTTCCTTTTTGCCTGCATAAATGAGGTGTGATTATATTCTTTTCACTATCTAACTTGTTGATGGCAACATTCTTATAATTTTTGTGCTTTTTTTTGTTTAACCCTTTTTTTAATCATAGGAGCAAATTAAGCATGCTGACAAGCAACTCATGTATCAATGCCGCTGTTCTTTTCTTGAGGTTAAGTAATTGGATTTATTACTTGACATAAATATGAACTTTTTAGGTTAATTTCTAGATTTACTTAATCCTTTAAAATTGGTATGTACAGATTTACAATGAACAAATCACTGATTTGTTGGATCCAAGCCAAGGAAACCTCCAGGTAAAGCTGTTATGTCAATTATGTTGTTTGAATTTTTGTGAAATGGTTATGTGGTTTGCTTAAGTTTTTTGTGTGGTTTTTCTTTCTAGATAAGAGAAGATGCTGCTTTTGGTTAGGGTATGCTCAAGCTGCTTTTGGTTTTATTTTTTTGGGCTCTTTCCTTACGTTTCTTCATCTTCTTCCCCAACATGATCTTTATATCTAATAAATAATAGGTCACCATTGTGAGAAATGAAGAAAGTGGAAACTTTGTATGCACTGTGGTCCTATGAGGAAGTACCGATAGTATATTAGATGACCTTGAAAGAGCAGTTGATGATGGTGTGAATACATACAAGGTAATTCTGTCCAACACATCTATGATACTTATTTTAGGTAGGTCATCTTTTATAAAAAGTATTGCATCAGTTTCTACTGGACCTTAAGAAGCTAATATGAATGTGGCTTTATGCATCTTTGTGCTAGGCAATGTGCAGGGACAGTTGTATAGTACCTGGAGCTGCAGCTACTGAAATTGAGTTGGCTAGAAAACTGAAGGAGTTTTCTTTTAAGGAAATAGGGTACGTAGTTTCCTCTCTCTCCATAAATAGATAGATATGATGCATGGGTATATTATGAGATATGCCATGTTGAGATATGTTATCAACCATGAAATGATTAATATTGTAAGAACGCCTCAAGATACTCCAACATATATTTCAATTCCCCGATTAAATGATGTAATTGTTGTGTGTGGGGAAACCTTGGAGGTGGAGATGGGGGTTTGTTACTTTGTTTTTTTGTTTATGTATAGGGTCCTGAATTAGTTAAAGAGGCAATGACTCTTGTTATCTTCCTCTATTGAGAGAAGTTTTACCTTATGGCACTTTTTGTTGTCAAAATTATCTTTTGATCATTTTTTTGCAGATGTTTACACCACAAAGATGTTTCAGCTACTGCTAGCTGCTTATTCAACAATAAGCATTCAAGATGCTTCTCTTCTTGGGAATGAATGAGGATGATGCTACAAACTGTAAGTTTCTAGTCTTTCTTGTGTTTTGCCTTGCAACAGCAGTACTTATCTGAATCAGAATTGTATTTTATGGGGTACACGGTGAAATATAGGCCTTGTTGGGTTTGTGTTTTAAGATATTATTTTAAAAATAGTTTTCTGGAGGGAGTTTAGAAAATTTAAAAATTTGCTTGGTTGTATATTTTGAAAGGAAAATGAGTGGGAGCACTAATTAGTGCCATCACTAATGATGTGGCAGTGGGTACAGTGTTGTTGTGTCTTTTTTTTTTTTTTTAAATGGATGCCACATCATTAGGGGTTGCTTTAGAGCACCACTTTTAGTGGTCTCTATCATTGCCCATTTTGAAAATAGTTATAGAGTTCGGGATAATTTAGAAAATTTAATAATTTGTTTTCTTTAGGCATGTTTGTTCCAATTTGCTCATAGTAGCTTTAGGCATCTTTTTCTTTTCCTTTTATGTTATTTTGTATAATTTTTACTTTCTATAATTTATTTCTTTTTAATCAAAGTATAGGAATTTAGTTGGATTTGCATCTTTTATTGAATTGGGCTTGTACACTTGTTTAAATGGGTATTTCAAGCTTCAATGATCTTGTATTCTCTTTCCTGTTTTTTTATGAGTTTTGTAGCCTCTTGCCTGGATTTGAGTTCATGAATACTCTCTCGTGTGAAATTGATCATACGTTGAAGAAATTGTTGGCAATTTTTGCAATTTTTTTAGAAAGAATGGTGTTTTGCTGAATTGGAGAGCATCAGGTGGTGACATCAATTATTTTTTTTATTGTCAATTAAAGTTCTAGATTTGTTCATCATAGACCTGTTCAACATTGGCCCAGATTTTTGGTTGGATTAAAATTTGAATAGCATTTTTATTTTTATTTTTTCTTTATACGTATTTAGTGCTTCTTGGTATGTGATAAAATCTTCTTGTTAGTGCTTCTTCAAGTTTTAAGTACTATTTATAAGTATTGGGTACGAATTCTTCAATTTGTGTTTATTTTGGTGAATCTCATTACAGTTTATGTTATGATGCAGGCATGTAGACCAGTGAAGACTACAACTTTAATGCTAAGACATGATTTTTGGATATATATTAGTTTGTGGTTAATGTTAAGACATGATTTTTGGATATATGTTAGTTTGTGGTTAACGTTTTGGATTTTGGATATGTTAATTTTGTGGGTAATGGTGATTGGATATTAATTGAATGAGAAAGTGAATTAATGCTTCATTACAACTATTTGAATGGGAGTTGTTATTTTTTGATGGGAATGACCATATGTCAAATTTTAGGGTTTAATGTTAAGGGCTGGTATGGACGGCTTGTGTTTTCACCATCTCGATGCCTGATATTTCCTGCTCCTAAGCCTTTCTTTTGTTGTAAGTATGACTATATACTTCAGTTAGCTTTTTCTTCACGTCTGGCAACCATGTTTCAAATTTATTTTGCATTTTTTCTCAGGTGTTTTCCCTGCATTTGATCCCATTTTTGTCCCTCAAGATGTCGACACATTTTCTTTGTTTTCATGTGTTAATCTTACTTTTTTTTTAAAAAGAAAAGAAAGGGATTTGCATAAAAAATCTAGACACATTAGTCTTCAAATTGATCAAGGAAAACCTATTTCATTTTAGAAGATAGATAGATAGATACATGTTTTTAGGTGATTTTTTTAGGTTTTTAGGTTTTTCATGTTTTCAAGAAAATCACCTGTTAATAGGTTTTACTGAAAAATCTGAAAAACCTGTTAATAAATAGATAATGATTTTTCAGGTTTTACTATCTGTCTGTATGTCAACCGATCTGAGCTACTGCCATTGACACTTGAACTTGACATCTAAAAAAACACGTATCGTCATTAAACTATACGAATCAGGGTTTAAATTTAAATGATCACAGTGGAAATAACACCGACGACAATAACATACTCAAAATTAACTTAAAAGAATGAACATAACAGTTCATGGTCACACAAATGAACATAACATAATCAAAACCATATCATAATAATAATAAAAAAAAACATAACAACGAATCAAAATCATAACATAATCAGATTCATAACATAACCCATCTAAAAATAACTAAGGATTAAGCACAAGAAGCCCTACACAATCACAATCATAAAAAAACATAACTAAAAATCAATAAAATTAAGAACAAATAAATCCATTTCACAGTGAACAACCAAGAATTGTTCAAATGAAACAGAAGAACTCATTCCTAATAAGCAAACTAATCTGACAAGCCAAAAATCCATTTAACATTACACAATTTTTAAACCCATACTAATCAAAACAACCAAAAATCCAGGAACAGGGCTCTTGACGTAAATTTGCCGATCTAGTTATTAATTTCTTCATTGAACCTGAAAGTTTTGTTATGAAATGAATCAACTAGGCAATGCAAAGTGTATTGGCATTCTCTACCTTATTTACCAAAAATATAAACAAATAACTACTGCAATCCCGTTTGGTGCAACTTGAAGCTAATAATCTAAACTTGGAAGTCAAAAACATCCCCTCTCCTATATCCCAATAATCTAAACATGGAACTTTTTTTCATTAGGAGTGAAAAAATGAACGAAATATAACATATTTTTTATTTCTTTTTTTAAAGAAATCCCTTCTTTTTTGTTTCCTAAGAGCCAAACAGACCATAACATAATTGTTACTGAACATTCAAGTCATCCACGGAAGATGGGCAATGTTGGGAGCCCTAGGTTACATCACCCAGAAGTCTTTGAAAGATGGGTGAAAGTGGACTTCAAAGAGCCTGTTTGGTTCAAATCTAGAGTAAAAATTTTATAGATTGTTAGATTGAAAGGTTCAGACAGCTTGCCTTGTACAATTATTTAATTTCGAAATTTAAAATCCATTTATTTCGATGAAATTTTTTTTCTCAAAATGATTGTTGCAATTTATTGTATTTGAGTAAATTAACTAAAAATATTTTTCAAACAGAAGGAACCCATTTACCAATGAATGAGAAATGTTAAAATCAAACACAATAACTCATTCTCAAGAAGCAAACTAATCAAACAAAGAAAAGCCCATTTCACATTGCAGAATTTGTAATTCAAGGCAATAAACACTTGGTTTAGGACTGGAAATTTGGTTGCGGAATTACATCGAGCAAGTGGTAGGTAAGGTAAAGTTTACTTAATTCCCAAATCAAAAGCCCATAATCTAACATTCAAGCCTATATATATATATATATATATAAGGGCTAATATATATATACAAGATACATATATACTCAATATACAACTATACATATACATATATATACACACCACATTACCTCTTAAGTTGTCCTTCGTCGAATGAGATGGAAATATAGACAAATTCGAAAGTCGGGCGTTGGAGTCCAGGGAAAGACAGAGCACAGCGTCCGAGTGAAGTGAAGGAGTTGAGGGAGTCGGGCGTCGAAGTGAAGGGGGGTAGCTCTCTCTCGTGATAGAAATCAGAGGTGTATCATCTGAATGTATCATCTGAAGCGATTTCAAATTGAGAAATTTATAGTTGAAGTTGCATTTTCAACATGCAATTTCAAGCCACATCAGCTAGCCATTGTCCATGTAGACTTCAAACTTATACTTCAAATCTGTCCATGTAAACTTGAAATTGCATTTTCGACATACAACTTCAACTTCAAATTGCATGTTGAAAATGCGATTTCAATTTGAAAGGGCATTTTCAAGATGCGATTTCAATTTGAAAGTGCAAGTTCAAGATGCGATTTTAAAACTGGGTTACTTTCCCAAATAGTTTGAAAAGTAGGTCAATTCGCTAAATAGTTTGTTTTTTTAGAATATTCAAAAAAAAAAAAAAACTCCAAGTTAGAGACCACACAAAAAAAAAAAAATGATTACATATTTTCAACCCCCAGGGGGAAAAAAAGAGGAAAATTACATAAAATTAGACGAGAAAAAGAAAAAAAAAAAGATAAATAGCTTAGATTAAAATAAATAAATAAATTTAATGTTTAAATTAATAAAATTAAAATTTTCAAAATTTATTTTGTTATAAGATTTAAATCTTATAGTTTTTTTTTAATTTTTTTTTAATTTCTCTTACTTCTTATTTTGTTTTGATAAAATGTTTGAAGGAAATTTCACAATTTAATGAAAAATTTGTGGTGCCACATGTCCATACGGGAAATCAGAATTGCGTGCGGTAGAGGTCATAATGACCGCATTTGTGTTCTATCAAAAAAAAAAAAAAGTTGACCACATTTGTGTGACATGTAAAAATTATCTGCAATATTAAGAACACAAAAATCATTCACAAAATGTGATACAGACGTCTCACAATGTGTGAGTCTTATAGGTAGAGCCCACATAGTGTGGGACTCACATCTTATGAGATATCTGTGTCTCATTCTGTGAATAGTTTCTGTGCACATAAACTTATTAGAAAATTATAGATTTGTAAAAAAATGTAGAGGTAAATTACCCTTTATCCTCTTTATATTTGGTCAATTTTTCACTTGGGCCCTTAAATTTTTTTTTTCCTTTCACTTTTAACTTTTCATGTTTTAAGTTTTTTTTTTTTTTAATTTACTCCAAGAGCTAACTTATGTCCACAATTATATAGAAAATGACACATTAACAAGAACGTGATATGAAAATATTTTATTATATATAACTCACACTTCTTCAATAAATCCAAACCCCAGCATAGTATGTGGCAGTTAACGTGGATTTTTTTATCTAATTTTAAAACAAAAATTAGTTTTAAAAGTAAACTAAGAAAAAATTAAAACGTAAAGGGTCAAAATTAAAATATAAAAAAAACTACGAGGGTCAAACCATACATACACACACTATAGTTCAAGTTTGAAGAGAGATAGAGAGATAAAGAGATAGATAGAAGGAGAGAAAAACAAAGCTACGAAGAAGAGGGTTGGCTATAATCCTACAAAAAGAGTGTACGGGCGAATTGAATTTAATTGTGATAGAGACCCCCACACATAT